AAAGTAGAAGTATTCAGATCTTGTAGTAAAAGTAGAAGTACTCAGATCTTGAGTAAAAGTAGAAGTACTCAGATCTTGAGTAAAAGTAGAAGTACTCAGATCTTGTACTTGAGTAAAAGTAGAAGAACTCAGATCTTGTAGTAAAAGTAGAAGTACTCAGATCTTGTAGTAAAAGTAGAAGTACTCAGATCTTGAGTTAAAGTAGAAGTACTCAGATATTGTACTTGAGTAAAAGTAGAAGTACTCAGATCTTGTCCTTAAGTAAAAGTAGAAGTACTCAGATCTTGTACTTGAGTAAAAGTAGAAGTACTCAGATCTTGTACTTGAGTAAAAGTAGAAGTACTCAGATCTTGTACTTGAGTAAAAGTAGAAGTACTCAGGTCTTGAGTAAAAGTAGAAGTACTCAGATCTTGAGTAAAAGTAGAAGTACTCAGATCTTGAGTAAAAGTAGAAGTACTCAGATCTTGTACTTGAGTCAAAGTAGAAGTACTCAGATCTTGTAGTAAAAGTAGAAGTACTCAGATCTTGTACTTGAGTAAAAGTAGAAGTACTCAGATCTTGAGTAAAAGTAGAAGTACTCAGATCTTGTACTTGAGTAAAAGTAGAAGTACTCAGATCTTGTAGTAAAAGTAGAAGTACTCAGATCTTGTAGTAAAAGTAGAAGTACTCAGATCTTGTACTTGAGTAAAAGTAGAAGTACTCAGATCTTGTAGTAAAAGTAGAAGTACTCAGATCTTGTAGTAAAAGTAGAAGTACTCAGTTCTTGAGTAAAAGTAGAAGTACTCAGATCTTGTACTAGAGTAAAAGTAGAAGTACTCAGATCTTGTACTAGAGTAAAAGTAGAAGTACTCAGATCTTGTACTAGAGTAAAAGTAGAAGTACTCAGATCTTGTACTTGAGTAAAAGTAGAAGTACCAGAGTGTAGGAATACTCTGTTTCAGTGAAAGTACTGCATTCAAAATGTTCCTCAAGTGAAAGTAGAAAAGTATTCTCATCAAAATATAGTTAAAGTAGCGACAGTAAAAGTAGTCATTGTGCAGATTGGTCCATTTCAGAATAATATATATGATATGTTTTATAATGATTGATCATGAAAGTGTTCTCAAAGCTGGTAAAGGTGCAGCTAGTTTGAATGACTTTGTATACTGCAGGGTAGCTTGTGGATTTACTCCAGGTGGAACTAAAGTCTGATTTAACACTTGGTTATATTTCACATCATTCATCCTCATCTGTAAAGTAACTAAAGGTATTAAATACATGTAGTGGAGTAGAAGTACACCATGTACCTCTGAACTGTAGTGGAAGTACACCATGTACCTCTGAACTGTAGTGCAGTAGAAGTACACCATGTACCTCTGAACTGTAGTGGAGTAGAAGTACACCATGTACCTCTGAACTGTAGTGGAGTAGAAGTACACCATGTACCTCTGAACTGTAGAGGAGTAGAAGTACACCATGTACCTCTGAACTGTAGTGGAGTAGAAGTACACCATGTACCTCTGAACTGTAGTGGAGTAGAAGTACACCATGTACCTCTGAACTGTAGAGGAGTAGAAGTACACCATGTACCTCTGAACTGTAGTGGAGTAGAAGTACACCATGTACCTCTGAACTGTAGTGCAGTAGAAGTACACCATGTACCTCTGAACTGTAGTGAAGTAGAAGTACACCATTTACCTCTGAACTGTAGTGAAGTAGAAGTACACCATGTACCTCTGAACTGTAGTGGAGTAGAAGTACACCATGTACCTCTGAACTGTAGAGGAGTAGAAGTACACCATGTACCTCTGAACTGTAGTGAAGTAGAAGTACACCATGTACCTCTGAACTGTAGTGGAGTAGAAGTACACCATGTACCTCTGAACTGTAGTGGAGTAGAAGTACACCATGTACCTCTGAACTGTAGTGCAGTAGAAGTACACCATGTACCTCTGAACTGTAGTGAAGTAGAAGTACACCATTTACCTCTGAACTGTAGTGAAGTAGAAGTACACCATGTACCTCTGAACTGTAGTGAAGTAGAAGTACACCATTTACCTCTGAACTGTAGTGAAGTAGAAGTACACCATGTACCTCTGAACTGTAGAGGAGTAGAAGTACACCATTTACCTCTGAACTGTAGTGAAGTAGAAGTACACCATGTACCTCTGAACTGTAGTGAAGTAAAAGTACACCATGTACCTCTGAACTGTAGTGAAGTAGAAGTACACCATGTACCTCTGAACTGTAGTGAAGTAGAAGTACACCATGTACCTCTGAACTGTAGTGAAGTAAAAGTACACTATGTACCTCTGAACTGTAGATGAGTAGAAGAACAAAGTAGCAACACATTGAATACTTAAATAAAGTACAAGTATCTCAAAATTGTACCCAAGTATAGTACTTGTTGAGTTTATGAACTTAGTTACTTTACACCACTGGCTATAAAGATAGAAAGACTAAGCCTTGCACAGAGGCATGAAAATACATTTTCAAAATGCTCAACAGTGCTGCCAACATTATAAACTGACTGCTACACAATTAAAATAAATGCTTTTATACATTTCTATTAGATGTGACTCTTTAGTGTTTCTGTTATTATTAACTGCTGCTTTAGTTGTTCTGACTGCTAACATCCTGTTATTCCTCATTTTAAAGCTGATATTCCGTGGGGTCGGGGGGGTCGGATCCTTGTCACCTTTTTCATACCTGATGAGTTTGCATCCCTGTCTTGTAGTAAAAGTAGAAGTACCAGAGTGTAGGAATACTTACAGTAAAAGTCCTGCATTCAAAATGTTACTCAAGTAAAAGTAGAGAAGTATTCTCATCAGAATATAGTTAAAGTACCAAAAGTAGTCGTTGTGCAGATAATAGTATTATATATACAAGTACACAGTAATATTACAGTCTGCAGTGTCTCTGTATGTATAAACCCTGACCTCTGGTGGTGCAGAAGTGAACTACCGCTGATTTCTACATTTACATTTTTTTTAATTATTTATTTTCTAATAAAAAAATCAACTTGTAGTTATTTAGGAATTATTTACGTATTTTTGTTTAAAATTCAGCAATAATTATATCAACATTTCTGTTACTTTCTATATTTATAATATGTTCCTTTTTTTAAAATAACATCTGTTTTATATTTGGTCATTTTGTCAAGAATTCAAAGACTGTGGTGGAACATTATGTAGTATATATTGTGTGTTGCACCACGGACCTGTTAGAGAGTGTACCGTGTTGTTGTATTCATTCTAGTTTGACAGTAGCAGGTGGTAGCAGGTGGTAGCAGGTGGTAGCAGGGAGCAGGGGGCAGGGAGCAGGTAGCAGGAGGTAGCAGGGAGCAGGGAGCAGGGGGAGCAGGAGGGAGCAGGGAGCAGGGGGCAGGGAGCAGGTAGCAGGAGGTAGCAGGGAGCAGGGAGCAGGGAGCAGGGGGCAGGTGGCAGCAGGTAGCAGGTAGCAGGTAGCAGGTGGCAGGAGGTAGCAGGTAGCAGGAGGTAGCAGGTAGCAGGAGGTAGCAGGGAGCAGGTAGCAGGTAGCAGGAGGTAGCAGGGAGCAGGGAGCAGGGAGCAGGTAGTAGCAGGTAGCAGGTAGCAGGTAGCAGGTAGCAGGAAGCAGGAAGCAGCAGGTAGCAGGTAGCAGGTAGCAGGTAGCAGGAGGTAGCAGGTAGCAGGAGGTAGCAGGGAGCAGGTAGCAGGAAGCAGGAAGCAGGAGGTAGCAGGTAGCAGGTAGCAGGTAGCAGGAGGGAGCAGGGAGCAGGTAGTAGCAGGTAGCAGGTAGCAGGAAGCAGGAAGCAGCAGGTAGCAGGTAGCAGGGAGCAGGGAGCAGGGAGCAGGGAGCAGGTAGCAGGAGGTAGCAGGGAGCAGGGAGCAGGGAGCAGGGAGCAGGGAGCAGGGGGCAGGTGGCAGGAGGCAGCAGGCAGCAGGCAGCAGGCAGCAGGCAGCAAGTAGCAGGTAGCAGGTAGCAGTAGCAGTAGCAGGCAGCAAGTAGCAGGTAGCAGGCAGCAGGTAGCAGTAGCAGGCAGCAGGCAGCAGGCAGCAGGCAGCAGGCAGCAGGCAGCAGGCAGCAGGCAGCAGGCAGCAGGCAGCAGGCAGCAGGTAGCAGTAGCAGGCAGCAGGCAGCAGGTAGCAGTAGCAGGCAGCAGGCAGCAGGCAGCAGGCAGCAGGCAGCAAGTAGCAGGTAGCAGTAGCAGTAGCAGTAGCAGGCAGCAGGCAGCAGGCAGCAGGCAGCAGGTAGCAGTAGCAGTAGCAGTAGCAGGCAGCAGGCAGCAGGCAGCAGGTAGCAGTAGCAGTAGCAGGCAGCAGGCAGCAGGTAGCAGGCAGCAGGTGTTCCTACCTTTCTGTAAACCAATGGAAAAGAAAGTGAGGAGTTCCATACTGAACACGCCGCCTCCGACTCCCATTCATCGGCTCTACACGACAAACATTTAATTTCAATCTTTATTTCGAACAGATTAAAAAAATAACAAATAAAAAATAACAAATGTGAAAAACAGAATACCATATTGTTAAAATAGTATTTATCCACATTCACGATAATATTTATATATTCAACAAAAAAAAGTCTTCATATTAATAATAATAATTTTAAAAAATCATATGTGTCCGAAAGGGAGCAGGAGGAAGCAAAGCTTATTAATTCCCACCCCTTACTTGATCAATGATTGTCCTTTAAGTCATTATGCAAGTTATTCCTACTTACATTTACATTTATAAATACATATACAATAATGTCTCATCTTCAGTCACCTCTCTTCATTCTCATAGTTTTCCCAAAAAGTGTTTCTGTACATCCTTTTAAACTGAATTATGCTTTGTTTTAACTCCTGCTCCAAACCATTCCATCAAATCACCCCACAGATTGTTATACTCGTACTTCTCACAGTTCTTCTGACCTTGAGTTGTTTCAAATGTAGATTTCCTCTCAAATGATACCTCTCGGTCTATGAACAATGTTTTTAATTTCCTAGGAAGTAGATTATGTCTTGCTCTGTACATGTGCCGTTTTAAATGTAACCAGATCAGTGAACTTCAATATGTGTGACTTCAAAAATAATACATTAGTGTGTGTAACATAACATATTCAATCCTATAACAACTTCCTAAATGTGGAGCAAACACCAAGCTGTAGTTATTGATTACTGAGGGTTTTATTTATGAATCTCCTGAAGGACATAAGACTTTATTCTTGGTGTAAAAAACGTGTATTTGTTGGATCAGGTCTTCCTGAAGCGGGTCAGGATCGGGCCGAGCGTCTCCAGAAGTGACTTCAACTCCGCCTCAGATTTAACTCCTGAACAACACAAGAAGGATTCATGGAGAATATCTCACAGAGAAACCAGACACACAAAACCAGGGAACAGTTCTAAAAATAAGCGATTCTGACGAGTGCTCAGCCACGGAAAAAACCCAAAATAGTTTGCACTTCCCACGAAAGGAATATTTGGCACACTTCAGTTTTAGAATCTGCACAGCTCTCCAGTTTTTTGTATATTTTTTGTAAAGTTCTTATATGGTCTGAAACCTCCTACATGACCCCCAAAGGCTTTGAAACACATATGCTTCTTCTTCTATGGTTCTGCTGTTCGTTACCGGTCACAGTAATCTTCCCCGTTACAAAGATGGAGACGGAGACCCCAGGAAAACCCCTGAAGAAGAGTCCAGGAAACAGCTCCGGTTCATAGCTGAGGAGAGGAAACACAGACACACTTAAAGGTCAATCAATCAATATATCACAGGTCTGTATCACAGAAGAGACATGAAGAAGAGGGGACACATGTTGATGTAGAAGAGACATGAAGAAGAGGGGACACATGTTGATGTAGAAGAGACATGAAGAAGAGGGGACACATGTTGATGTAGAAGAGACATGAAGAAGAGGGGACACATGTTGATGAAGAAGAGACATGAAGAAGAGGGGACACATGTTGATGTAGAAGAGACATGAAGAGGGGACACATGTTGATGTAGAAGAGACATGAAGAAGAGGGGACACATGTTGATGTAGAAGAGACATGAAGAAGAGGGGACACATGTTGATGAAGAAGAGACATGAAGAAGAGTGGACACATGTTGATGAAGAAGAGACATGAAGAAGAGGGGACACATGTTGATGTAGAAGAGACATGAAGAAGAGGGGACACATGTTGATGTAGAAGAGACATGAAGAAGAGGGGACACATGTTGATGTAGAAGAGACATGAAGAAGAGGGGACACATGTTGATGTAGAAGAGACATGAAGAAGAGGGGACACATGTTGATGTAAGAGAATGAAGAAGAGGGGAACATGTGATGAGAAGAGACATGAAGAAGAGGGGACACATGTTGATGTAGAAGAGACATGAAGAAGAGGGGACACATGTTGATGTAGAAGAGACATGAAGAAGAGGGGACACATGTTGATGTAGAAGAGACATGAAGAAGAGGGGACACATGTTGATGAAGAAGAGACATGAGGAAGAGGGGACACATGTTGATGAAGAAGAGACATGAAGAAGAGGGGACACATGTTGATGTAGAAGAGACATGAAGAAGAGAGGACACATGTTGATGTAGAAGAGACATGAAGAAGAGGGGACACATGTTGATGTAGAAGAGACATGAAGAAGAGGGGACACATGTTGATGAAGAAGAGACATGAAGAAGAGGGGACACATGTTGATGAAGAAGAGACATGAAGAAGAGGGGACACATGTTGATGTAGAAGAGACATGAAGAAGAGGGGACACATGTTGATGAAGAAGAGACATGAAGAAGAGGGGACACATGTTGATGTAGAAGAGACATGAAGAAGAGGGGACACATGTTGATGAAGAAGAGACATGAAGAAGAGGGGACACATGTTGATGAAGAAGAGACATGAAGAAGAGGTCGTTGTAGACGTTGTGTGTTCTCTCACCTGCAGGGGTGGTAGAGAGCCAGCTGCTGCAGGTTCACAGGGAAACTGCAGCAGGTCGCCATCAGGTTGGTGATCTGGAAGTTCAGGAAGCGGACGGGAACGCAGAGCTTCTGGATTTTGCGAGCGCACCGTCTGGCTGCAACTCGGGCGCTCTCCGGACTGTGAAGACACAAAGAGAGGACTGAGGAGGGACCGTCTTATAAACAGAGAGGAAGAAGAGTTCAGACGCTTCACTCAAATGAAAGATCTTACTTATGGTCTGTCTGCAGCTCAGAGTCTTACTGTGAATGTGTTATGTTAGATATGTAGAGTAGGGTCTCCAGAATATAGAAACTGCCGGATGCTAACCTGCAGATGTTGGGACATTTGCACAATTGGCATAAATTGCATTATAAATCATCAATGGGCCCCTAACACTTTAACACGACCCAAAATCATCAAATTCGATCCACTGGGGGAACAAGTATTGCCCCTTCTCGTTAAAACTGGCATTCTTGATCCTGAGAACGTCTGAAATGGATTCAACATCCTCAATAACCCCCAAAACCAATCCAAGAATGTCAGTTTTAACCAGTAAGGGGCAAAGCGTGTCGGTTTTGATGAACTTAGGATCGATTTTGAAGTTTTAGGGGACCCTTTTAAGACATTGATTCGGCATCCTCAAAAAAAACATAAAAATCGGCCAAGCCATTTCTAGCTATTGTCTGCTGTATACGTACAGTAGCACAGCTTGTGCTAACTGGAGATGTCCCACCAGTTAGCATCCATCAGTCTCTATGTTCTGGAGACCCTACTGTACATTTATAATATAACACTTTGGGGTCTCAACATTTCAGGGTTCAGTCGAGTAAAGGCTCCAGATCTGACCTCTTGGCTCCGATGATGACCAGAGTCCCGTTCCGGTGGATCATAACCGTGGCCTGAGGCTCGCGGACCCTCAGGAACAGGATGTAGTTCTTCTGAAAACGGCTGCACAATTACAGGTG